GGGGGGGGGGGGGGGGGGGGGGGGGGGGGGGGGGGGGGGGGGGGGGGGGGGGGGGGGGGGGGGGGGGGGGGGGGGGGCTCGCGATGGGGGAGTGCGTGATGTCTGGTGCGAGGTTGTCACAGAGCGCGGCGCATCCTTGCCACCATACTTTCATTTTGATGTGGGCAATGCATAGTCTATTATTCATGTTTGAAGGGAGCAACCGGGGAAGTGCATATGGGCCCTTCAGCAGTACTACATGTAGTGTGTTTCTTGTTATACCCTTCGTGTGCATGTTTTGTGTTCGACCCCACCTCCTTCGCGTGGCGCTAGACGGCTAGGCAGAGAATAAAATCAAGTAGGACAGGTGCACACGTGCATTGCTGCTGGGATAGTTGAACCGGGAGGGAGGGACAAGGAGGCAGGCCGCCTGAATTTTGAGTTAAAGCTCTGAATTTACCAAAGATGGTACGTTTTTTCCCTTCGGTCTTGGTTTGCGATGACGGCCTACAGGTCAGGAGATGGGGCATCCTCTGGCGCCCCGTGGAGGTTCGCATCGAGAAATTCGAGCACGTGGTGAACGCCGTCGTTCGCCTGCACAACTGCTGTCGGGATCGAAAGTGGACGTCCCCACGGAGAACACCGGGTCTGCGATTCCTCCGCCCGAGGTCGCTTTTGACGACGACGGCCTCATCAGCAGCGACTACTTTGAGACCGTTTCAGTGCGTACCGGGCGCCCGGTGAAGGACCAGGCTAAGGCATCGAAGCCGAGGGAGGCCATCCGCAAGGAGCTGGAGGTGGCCGGCTTGATGAGGCCAAAACACAACATCGCCAGGAGCCACAAACGCGCAAGTTAGAGTGCTGTCGGAAACTTAACTTGGCAAGGAGGGGGGTTTGAGGGCGAAAGAGGGAGTGGGGGGCAAGAGCGGGGTTAGGACCGACCGGCGGCCGTCGTGGGGTGTGTGTATCGCGGGGATCCGGGTGAGGGTCATGTGTGTGTGTTGTGTTGTGTATGTGTGTTTTTCCCTGTGGTTTTAAGGCGGCATTGTTTGGTGGGCGTTTCTTCGTCTTGCGTTTTTTTTTCTTACGTGCTGGGTTAGGATCCGAATAACACGTCCTCCCGCCATCGAAGGTGTTTTTTGTCGAAGCGGTCTACCTCGTATTCAGCGACCCATTATTGGAGTGTCTTTGGGCGTTCGACATGGCCTACATAGCTGTCAACGTAGACTGTTTCCTCGCCAAGGTTCGCTTCTGATTGAAAGTGCCTTTTGGGAAGAATACGTCATTGTGAAACTGTGGATCGGGGCAAAAGTGCCGTTGAATTAGCTGGCGCTTGTTTTGTTGAGGATAATGTTGCCTAAGCGGGAACGTTTGAGGACGACCGTAGAAGCACTCTTGGTGATTTTCGCTCTGAAGGTCTGCCGGAGGGCGTTCGGTCCTCGCGCACGCCCCCATGTGGTTACATCTGTGTAACCACGCCACTCCTGCCCTTGCCCTGGTGCGTTCCTTGTACAGCAGTACTAGGCGATCAGAGTCGGCTTGGACAAAGGTACAAGCAATCCCACGACAAAAACTGCTTTCCCAACAAACCGGGCAACCTCCAACAGAGCTGCACTGTCCTAAGTCCAAGCTATTCTCGGACATCAAATCTCTCTGGTGTCCGTAAAAAATAAATAAACACACACGCTTAGAAGAACAGGCTCTCACAGGGCTTTCCACCCACGGCAGAGCACAAGCAAGGTCTCGGTGACAATATGATCCTCTACGACGGAACTGCCGTCATTTTGACGCATCCGTCATTCCAAAACGAGATGTCACGATGTTGAACGTCTGGAATAAATATGAGGATCCGCAGAACCTTGAACCGAACATGAGAACAACCAAACAAATGTCCTCCTTCGAGGGCAGACCCGACGTGCGTGAAAGCATCGCAATGCCCCGTCATAATGCTGTAGCTCCACTTCTCGCTGCTGTTTAGCCAAATCTGAAGGGGTCGGAGGGAGTTACAATATTTCCGGAAACACTCCGAGTATTTCATCGCATGTGCGATATCCTCGCCAAAAGGGGGAAGGAGTCTCGTCGCTTGCCGCGACAAGAACCTTCGCACCTCAAACTCATAAATAAAACATGCATCACCTGCCAATGCCATGGTTGGCAGGAGTTCGCGGACCTTATGAAATCAATCTGAACAAAATCATGTGTGGTAGTCAGACGAGCTATGTGGGTTGTTCAGCACTTGGCCAGGTCAACAGCAGTCTCAAAAAAGGCCTCTTCTTTCGTGCCCACGTACAGCAGTAGTTTCCACCCACCCCACAGACGGCAAAAAAAAAATCGGTCGGGAAAGCCAACTCCTTGATCCCCCCGTGGAATAACTAATTAAGTGGGAACATCCTGAAACTACTCCCTTCTTCCCCTCGCTCCCCGACAAGCTTTTGCTTAGACATGGGTTGTAGCGAAGGGGGGGGTCTTTCTGGCGAGCAGGGCTAGACTCACCCTCAAGGGATGACCGAAACCTTCTTGCTGCTGCGCATCCGCCGCGAGGCGTGCGTGTGGTGGTGGAGTTGGGTCGGCACTGATGGGGTCAGGCGGGAAAATGTAGATG